TTTACCCTTTCCAAATATGAACATTTCCACATATAAAATAAATAAAATATCCAAAAACTTTTACCTCTAAATCATCTATTATATTATAAACGTCACCAACGAATTCATACCGCAACCATTACAAATACTTAGTGTCAGATATTTAAATTATTTCCATGCACGTTTACTTCAACTGAAACGTATACCAAATTCCTACAAACATAAAATTCACAAAATAACTATCATTTAATTAAAATATAATTAAATTCAAAAACACTACTTAAAATATAAATGAGCACATACATTAAATTAATAAAAATTTCCTTACAATCCTAATTACTTTAAACTAAATCATTGCTAATAACAATTTTCCCAATAATACCAAATTCCTTTACTTCCACCTTACATTTAGAACAATGCATAAAAATAATATCCTCAAATAATTAAAAATACTAACTTACCTAATCTTCTTCAGAATCTGGATTACGTGTCCGATAAACTTTTCTTTAGTTACGGCCATGGGATCCAAAAAATTCACGAACACTGTTTCACACAACACACAGAATAAAGCCAAATACAAAATTTCCAGATTTTTTCCCGATTTCCCCCCTTTTCCGATTAAAGAACCGTAATTCGTCCATTAATATCACATGACATATCCCATGATCTCTCATTTCCCTCACACAAAATAATGCGTAATCGGAACTGAGTACTGCTCACATTATTACCAAAGTCCCAGGTAGTAACCTTTATCGCCTCCAAAATGTCGCCAAACTACCAGTTACCATATTGTAAAGATCAACCGTAATTTTAATTTTATATAACTAATTTTGGCTAATCTTTGGAATATGGTAACAGGTAGTTTGGGGACATTTTGGTAAGGCGATAAAGGTTACTAGCTAGAACTTGAGCAGTGTACATGGATAAAGTAAAGAGTGTGCACAATGCCATTTTTGTGCAATTCTGGGATTTTTTTTAAAGTGAAAATAGGTCGACGTGTACATGGATGATACCGTGTATTTGCAGTTCTTAAAAACGCGGCAAGCAGTAAGCGATTCTGCACTTTCTTTCAATTTCGCACCTAATCTTCGTCATGATTAAGCATTTTTGTTCCATAAAAGTTCTAGTATAAGTGTAATTCGGCTAGCAGATTGTTGGAAAAAATGCTGAGTTGAAAAAAAAAAAAAAAATGCCTTTACTTCGTGAAAACAAAATGGCATCCAAAACAAAACTAACAGGTTGCTGTAGCAAGGTTGGTCGCCAAAAAATCGCCAAGTTACCATAATCCAAAGATTAACCCTATTTTTTTGTAAAATCTTAGCCAGTAATAGGAAATGCAGCATTCATAAATCAACTTTCATTTCAACACAATCATGATAATTAGCTAGATTTGAAAATTTCTCATTCAGAGTATGTTAAAACATTTTGAAAACTTCATAAATAGTTTCCACATAGACTGTAAAATTAAAATTGTAGTTGCTAGTAGTTTAAGAAAACACATCTTATGGAATAATACTAAAAATATCCCTGTATTGAAACTTTTATAATGTGTTGGATAGTTTTTCCCTAAAAATATATTATACTGATGATAAACCTGAGGAAGACTCTCTGATGTAATAATAAAATTAGTTTGGTATTGTGATCTGATCTTCCCAATCTTTTAAATACGCAAGTAGTATTAGTACATACATATTTATACGTTAGAATGAACATGCAACTGCATGTTACTAAGAATGATAAGAAAACAGTAATTTTGAAGGAGATTAACAAAAATAATTTTATTTAATGTCTAATAAATCTAATTTGCTTCTTACATATGTATTAAAATTGCGGTATTTATCATAGCAGCCCCCAAGATTGAATCTCTAATCTAACAAGATATCTCACCAGTGTTGTTATATCTCGTTACTTGTTACATCTCGATTGATTAGAAATTAAATTTTGGGTGCTGCTATAATAAGAAAGTACCACAACTCCTTTTGTAAATTTTTCAAAATAAATATAGGATATTTTTAGTAAAGCTGCTAGTTGTATAAATTGCCTTAATATAAGCAAAAATGTTTCATTGAAATGCAGCTTTTATGTAATATAACTTGATTAATAATTTTTGAATAGTTTTTATAAATAAAATTAAAGATCTGAAGATAATGATTTCGTGTTAATGATATAGGTACAACTCTGATACATGCCCTAATTTCACCAAATGTGGCGATATGTGTTCTGCACTGGTTTTTGACGCGATTGTGTGTTGTATAGCAACCCTGTTGATCTTGAAAAATCTTTCACTGGAGTTCGTTGGTTCATGTCATGCTCTGTGTCTGAGAAGCTAGGGGGGAAAGATAAAATGATGGAAGTTGTTGAGTTGAAGTTCGGCAAAAGGAAATATCGTCGTGGCCATCCTGTTGAGGGGCAGTGGGTATTTGGAGGTCTGGAAAGACGGTCTGGGAGATTATTTTTAGTGGCTGTGCATGATAGAAGTAGGGATTTGTGATTATTTGTGAACCATAGTATGAATTTTCTGGATAGTGTGTCTGGCTGTCATATAAATACGATAGTGATTATGTGGTGGCATGTTAAAGGCGGTATGAAATTGGTATTTCTGCTGTTCAAAAAAGCATTAATTCATGGTAAGTGCATTTTATTTTATTCTTGTTCTTATTTTGTAGAATGTTATGTTCATTGTTTTTTTAGTATGAATTTCTGTCGTTATTGTTGTTTTTTTGAATTGTTTGAAATTTATTTAAGTTATTTTGTTGATTAGTGCGTACCGTCTAAATTTTGCAACTTGTAGCTGTTTTTTAAAGTTGAAACAGAACGCTGTATACATGGTATTCTTTGAAATTTATTGTTGTTATGTTAATTTATTAAAGTGAGGTGTGCGTAGTTCGTAGATTCGTTTGTTGCCTAAATTGTGCAATTCGTAGATGTTTTTTTAAGTTGAAACAGGACGCTGTGTACATGGTATTCTTTGAAATTTATTGTTGTTCTGTTAATTTATTAAAGCGAGGTGTGCATAGTTCATAGATTTGTTTGTTGCCTAAATTGTGCAATTTGTAGATTTTTTTAAGTTTAAACAGGATGCTGTGTACATGGTATTCTATGAAATTTATTGTTGTTATGTTAATTTATTAAAGCGAGGTGTGCATAGTCATAGATTTGTTCGTTGCCTAGATTGTGGCATTTGTAGATGTTTTTTTAAGTTAAAACATATCGCTGTGTACATGGACTCTTGTCAAATAATTTTGGTTAGAGATTTTACGGCTTTGCTATCTAAATTTTTTGTTTTTGTTTCTGATTTTTAGCTTAAATTGTGTGTTCAAAACGTGGTTTTTGCATTTGCGAAAACCGTGTTTTTGGAGACATTTTAGGCTTAAAGTTCGAAATGTAGACAAAAAATTTAGATAGCAATATGGCAGCGTGGAGTTTCTCGCCAAAAATGTTTGGCGAGAAATTTGGCAACTTGAGGGTGCATATCAGAGTAGTTCCTTGATATATTGTTAATAAACCAATCATTGGGTTGATGTAAAAGTTTGTCTAACTTTTGGACATTCAGACTGTAAGTTGATTTGATGATGCACATGGTGCTATGATGACCGAAATTTTCAGCCAATAAAACATGTAAGCAAACAATATTTAAAGCATTAAGTTTCATTCATATTTAGCTGTTAGTTTGTGGTTGCCATTAGGAATATTTTCAAAGTTGTGTTACAAAAAGGAGTTTCATTTTATTGACTTATGAAAGATAGCTGTAATATTATTGCTGCACAAAAATTATATACAAAAATTATATGTATAAATAATGTTTAATTAGCACAAGTTTTGATTCCAACTAATAGTAGGTATACGGCCTGTGATTGAATTCAATATACTGCTAAACATGTAGAATTTAAAATTCTGGTATTTGTATTTCAAATACCAGTCTGTTCTTCAATTCGTATACTAAAATATTTCTGATTGGAAGAAGTCTGTACTTCATTTTCTGTATTTTTGTATTGATAGAAATATTTCAACATTTTGTTGCCTATGCTGAAATGCTTTTCATGCACATAAATATCTGCAAGAACAAATCAATAGATTCCTTTCTGTCTAGATTATAAAGTAGTGCACATAGCTGCTAGTAGCTAATTTAAATAAAAGAAAGAATACTTTTTAGAGAGAAGGGATTATATACATGTATATTGTCAAAATGGAATTTCAGTTATTAATTATCGCTTTTAAAACTCAGATGTAATGAAAGATATTTTTCAAGGGAAAAAAGATATATGTGAGGAAAGTAAATGATGTGAAAGTTGTAAAGTTCTTTTTTAGCCTGAAAGGGTGTCCTAAATGGGATTTTGCCCTTTAAATGGGATTTTGCACTTCAAAATCCCATTTCAAGATTATCCACTATAAACGGCAAATCACTTTTTCAACTTATCACCGAATAATGTCACCCTGTATTATTTTTGAAGAAATTAAGTATCTGCATGTTTTGAAGAAATCAAGAATCTGCATGTATGTATATATGCTTCTCGCATTGTGAGAAAAGTTACGGTACCTAGAGAGATTAAATTTTAAATATGTTGTTCTCCATCTAAATATGTGTACCTGTAAGTCCGAATTTTGAATTGTGTATTTTAGATTTCATAAAAATGTATGAATGTTTCATTAACAAATTCAGTGATTTGAAAGTGAGCAGTGGCACCACTGTAAGAAATAAAATAGTTTTATTTCCAGCACACGAGATTATTAGTTGGAAATTCTAAAGACATGCTGTTTTTAAACATGTCAAGTGGGAAAAACGGGATATCTAATAAATAACGTTAACACCCAAAAGATTAATAATAAAAAGATAAAAAAAAAAAGTTTCGTAAGCCATCTTACAAAGAAATTAAACATTGATATGATGAACTGAAAAGAGACTGAAAAAATAGAGATACATATACTAACACTTAACATTATGTTTGGAATTCTAAACATGTACTGCTTTTAAAATTTTTGTAATTTTTCTGTGAATTGTTTATGGTGTAAGTGCAAAGAAAATGGTGCTTAATAATAAAGCTAGTAGAGTGAGTGCAACAGCCGACTGGTGGACTGCGAGCTCAGGGAGATCGTAAAAAACCTTAACAAATCCTTTTGGGAAATCATTAAAATTCTTTCAGATTTTTTTCCCCCTTTAAAACATGAAATCTTATCTATTTCTTTCTAACAATGTTAACTGTTAAGTATTTCACTGAAGTTGCGATAGAGAACAGCAGCTTTTCATTCATTATGAATTTTTTGTTTGATTAATAAATAAAAGTATTAAGTATACTTTATTAGTCTTTATATAAGTAAAAATACTGCCAAATGTCTCTAATGTACAATTATAGAAGCTTAAACTAATATTTAAATTTATTTGTCATCATTATTTTTAAAGCTGCTTAAGTATAATACAGAACTGCAAACTAATGCTATACAGTGTAATTTCATCCTGAAATTTTTATTCACTGTTATACAGTAAAAGCTCAGCTGTACTGAAAGCTGGGAAATGCTGAATGCTGTATAAATGAAAATTACAGATAGTTGAGCATAAGAAGTGAAACAGTAAGAAACCCAAATAAATTGAAGAAGACATATCTGCTTTCAAATTATAAAAAAATTTAAGCTTTGTTATTAGATTGAACAACAAAAGCTTACATTTTTAAATTATATAAGATTAAAAAAATTATATTTCAGATATAAAAGCCAATGTATTCTCGTAGGCCTTAAACACACATTAAAGCAAAATGTATTACTGGATTTTGAAATCCTCTCGACCACGAAAGTTGGAGAAGATCCTGCCAACCTTACACTAGTCATTCTGACAGATGTTAGAACAGACTGATTGCTATTTTATTAGATTATTAAGAAGTACAAGTTACAGATGTAACTTACAAAAATTTAGATTGCTTATAAATTTTTCATGCTGCATCACCATTGTTTATTTATCTTCAAATAAAGTGGAAAATCATGGACATTAACACACATTTTTCTTCATTCCAGGATCCTGTAATTTTGAAAATATTCCACTGCATGCTGTTCCATTTGGGGTCCCAAAATTTAATCATTTTATCAAAATTTTAGGGAAAAACAGATAAATAGTGGTTAATTTATATCCTCTTTCATGAAAACTGAACTAGATTATGAAAAATTAATCAGGCATACATAAAACTCAGATGAAGATATTACGATTGTTTTATGATGTCATGCTTATCAGTTTTGTCGCAAAATCACACTGTTTGGTGATAGTTTTTGTTTTTTCTGAATCACAATCATTCTATGCTTGCATTATGGGGATTCTAAGTCTGTTATTTGCATATTAAAAATAATCTTGTTAATTGAGCTCTCCAGTTATTTGACTACTCGATAGTTGAGCTTTTACTGGAGTTAATTCATAAGCTTTAAAGCAATTTTGATGTAAATTGTAATGTAAGTAGTAATGGCAGTCATTTATTGTACTGTTAATTATTTAATTCGATTGATGACATAAGAAAGTTTTTATTGTTTGTATTGAATTGAATGGCTATTAATTTTTTTTTTATTTGTTTATTTTTATTATTAGGAACAAGAAGCCAGAACTGAATTATTGAGAAAAAAAGCTAGGTCATGTACTTCTGAAAATCTTAGTGAAGAGACTGCTGAAAAACAGAAATCTGATTTCTCTGTGTCTGACCATTTAAACTTTTTTAAGGATATTGAAGATGCTGGTGTAAGTATGCATAGCCTGTGAAAGATAGTATTTTGGGTAAAAGTATATTTCAGGCTACCCCTTGGCAAAAATTGGTGATTTTTTGGCACCATTCCTTTTTATGTACAATAGACTCCCCAACAAAATGACATCTAAAACATAATGCAATAAAACATAATTAAAACCAAAAATATATATTATCAATAAACTGCATGTTAAATCAAACAAGGAAATAACATAAAAATGGTAATACATGTTATGTAACTAAGCAGTACAAAAAAAGGAAATATTGACTTACCTTATTTAAAAGTTTCTGTTTCTTCAATATGTGTAACACACAGAATTCCTTAACAGCATTCAAAAACTTTTCTGTTCCTTCAATATGTGTAACACACAGAATTCCTTAACAGCATTCAAAAACTATTTAAAATTATCTGAACTAGAATCTGCATACTGCCATCACCACATAAATTCACAAAAATAAGAATCAAATTTAATTCACTTTTAATCATTTTAGTATTAGCTTCATATAGCCACATTTACATAAAATCTGAATAATAATCAAATGACTCTCCTCAAACCATGTTCCCTTTCTAATGGAACGCTTTATATAGTGAATATTTGAACCTTTCTTGCGACATATTCGTTCAAAGCCATCTGAACGATCTATACATTCGACCATACGCATTTCCTTCATACAAGCAGGACACTTATAATGATTACCGAGTAAACAGTCAATTAATGCTTCTGTTACCATTCATTCCAAATTGTTCAGAAACTTCAGATTAACCTTATCACAGGCTGTCATTTTATGGTGTACAGCACAAAATAAGCAACGTTTTTATGGTGTACAGTGCAAAATAAGTGACATCCAATGCAGAAATAAGCTCCGAGAAATTAAAATCACAGCGATGACGCATTCAATCGAACATGTCATAATCGGTTTTCCATAACATTCAGGTACTCAGGTTACAGTAAATGAAACAACAACTTGACGATAATCCAAGAGGTACACTAAAATATAGATTAATGGTATTTTTTTTTTTTCTGAACTTGAAAATATTGCAACATTAATTAAAAATATTTTATAGATTTCACATATACTGGCAAATAGGTTATTCATTTTAAGATGCTTAAAAAATATTTAATTTATTCTGTATTTAACGGATTTTTTCAAAGTTTTTGAATTCTTACTTTACATTATGTTGTCATGCTATTTGTTGCAACTTCACTAGTGCTGCTATTGCATGAGGTCTAAGATCTTTACTTTTTAAAGATCTAAGATCTTTCACATATTCTGGCAAATAGCCAGTTTCTGTAGTGTTGCCATTTGATGTGATGCAACCTGTATTTGAAAGCAATCAATTGTACTTATTAATAATAATTAACATCTTTATTTTATTTCTTGAAAAGTATATCTAACTGGTGCAATTTAAATTTTTTTAAATATATCCAGTCGTTATTGATGGTGAATATTTATAGCCTTATTTAAAAAAAAAAAAAAAATAAAGATATATCAAACACTATCTGTCTCGTACTTCAATACAAATAATTTTGTTTTAATTAATGCAATAGCGATTGCTTTAGCAAAAACTTATAAAAATGGAAAACATTAATATATGCTCTCTTTTCATATGTGATTGCTCTGGAACTTAAAGTTTTTATCTCATCAGGATAAAAACTTAAAAGTTTTTATTTATCTCATGATAAAAATTTTGTTTAGTTTCTTTTTATGCTCCCTTGAGCAGGATGGCTATTTAATCTACAGATGTATATGGAAGTGCTAAAAAATCTGGGTTCGATGTTCCCATTAGAAATATATAGTATCTTCTAAATAGTGTCATTGACATGCATTTTATATAGAAAGGCAGACATCTGTAGCATATTGACAACCTGACAACCTGACTGTGCAGTAATGATAGTAGATTTTCGCAACTTTCAGCAAAGTAAGGTTAATAGTAATCATGAGATCTGTTATAGCATTTCAGAGCACAGAAAAAGTCTGGATTTTTACAACCAGTTCAGGGGCATATTTTGAGTACAAGAATTCCAATAAAATATTGAATGCGTGCAGCAGAATACCTGCCGAAAGAGCAGGTAATCATGTCAATAATTGTTTGTCAGAAATCATTTCAATCAACATGAGCAACATGCAAACATAAATTCTGCAAATAAGATTCCAATTCAAGGTTGGAATGTCTAATAACATCAGCACATTGGTAAGTATGTGATGTTCCGTCCATGATATTAGCATTTAATATTAGCATTATATTTTGTCCAGCTGGTTCTGCCTGGCATTCCGGAACGTAGGCACTAGGTGCCAGAAAACTGGCAATGAGTAGCGTAATCTGATGAGTCTTGTTTTCAACTGACAAGTAGAAAAATTCTGAGGTTGGAGAAATTCTTATGAATCATTGAGCACAGTCTGTGCACAGCAGTTCAAGAGATTGCATAGAACTGTATTTTTGGCTCAATAATAAAATGGGTTTATTTGGCTAATAGGAATTAGGATCTTTAATGTGTCTACAAAATTCTGTGACCGATTAAGGTTGTTCATATCCTGTCAGATGTATTACATCTGTTCATGCTGTGCATTCATTTTTATTAGTCTGCCCTTTCACAACAAAATGATATGTTATGACACATGTCCATAGCTGCCAGAATATGATTTTAGGAATGCACATTCGAGTTTTAGATTTAGGTTGTGAAATGGTGCTTTTGTTTACAAGGTTTCAGTATTATATTTGCCCTACAATGCTCCATTCAAAGCAAGGATCCAAGTCTCTCAGTATTCAAGAAATGTTATTCATTCTTTTAGGAGGCATTGTATTTGTTGTCTGCAGATTTTGCAATCTGCAAGTGGACCTACAGCTATCCCTACAGCCCTACAGTGCTCCATTCAAAGCAAGGATCCAAGTTTCTCAATATTGTAGAAATGTTGTCTATTTTTTTGGGAGACATTGTACTTGTTGTCTGCAGATTTTACTATCTGCAGGTGAGCCTACAGCCTTCCCAATTTCAGTATATTGATATAATTAAAAATAAAAGGAAACATTGCAGAATTTAAGCAAAAGAGAGAAAAGTGTTGAGAAAAACATGCTTATATAGAAGAAAGTGGAGACATCGCAATATACATTTTCTTCTAGATAGTTTTAGTTGCTTGTGAAGTTTGTATGCATATGTGTGTATATATATATATACACACACACATATGCAGGTTTCCTACATATATAGTAAACCTGGTTGTGTAGTGAGTATAGCAGGTTATCATGATTTAAGCAACATCAAACAAGATATGATTGTGCATATTTATGAAATGTGTTTTTGGGATGCTGGCAATTCATAATAAATATGTTTATGAATTTTAACATTAGCTTTACTAAGATTATTATGTAGAGCCTATGGAAAGGGCAGGTTACTTATAAAAATCAAATAATTCAGTGTTCTTTAATTTGTATGCTTAGATCTGAACATGGTTGAACCCCATTGTTGAATTTCTGAGCTTCACATCTTTGCTTAAAGTTAAATTTTCAGAGTAGAAACAGTATTTAAATTTTTTTCTTTCTATTTTATTGTAATACGGTTTGTTAGAAGGAGAGGAAAACCAAAGCTAATACTCTTCGTGAACTGTAATCAGAAGGGTTAGAAAGAGCTTTCTTTCACCTTCTTTTGATATTGAAATGAAAAAGGAGAATGAAGCCATTTCTAATAACTAGAATATAATCGTTCCTGATCATGATTTTAACTAAGTACATTTTTCAGTCATTGACATAATTTATATCTGAAGAAAATAAGAACATGTAATGTACTAATGATTGTGAAGCCCAGCTGTTCCAGCACTGTATGAAAAGACTGTCAAAGAATGCAGAAACAACTAATTTATCAACTTCACTTGAGCAACAGCACATTAAAATTGCTTAATAAAATAATTTTAACTGTTGTAAATTGTGCAGTATTGGATTTGTGACAGATCTGAATGTACATTATTTGTTCCAAGTGTTAAAAATAGGTTAAAAGAGGTATTCATGAGAAGTATGCTATATAGTTATATTTTTGGCTAGCCTATATTTGACAGTGCCCTCGCTAAGTTGTTGTTTCATTTATGGTAACCTGAGTAGTTGAATGTTATAAAAACCCTATTATGACGTAATTGGTTGCCTGAATTTGACTGATGGGAAAAGATTTGTAAGGGCTTGTTTGTGTGTTGGATGTTGGTTAGGAAGTTGCTTATTTTGTGGTTTACACTATAAAACGGCTGAATGTGGTAAGATTAATTTGAAATTTCTATAGGATTTGGAATAAAGGGGGAGGAAGCATTAATTGACTGGTGTGAAAATGGGGTTACTTAGTAGCATTATAAGTGTCCTGGTTGTACAAAGGAATGCATATGTCTAATGTAAGATTGTTCGGGTGCTTGGATGGATTTGTCACAAGAAGGTCAAATGGTCACCATATAAGCGTTCTGTTAGAAAGGGAACAGGTTTGAGGAAGTTTTTGATGCTGTTTAGAATTTTGTGCACAGACTGAAGGCAAAGAAATTTCTATAGGTAGGTGGCTATTTCCTTGTGTAGTGCTAGTTTTTTTTATGTTATTCATTGTTTGATTTAAAATGCAGTTTATTGAGATTATATACTTTTTGTGCAATTCTGTGATGTTTTTTTAAGTGAAAATAGGTCGATGTGTACATGGACACCGAGTTTGTGCATTTCTTTGATTTGTTATTTTGACTTAGGATCTGCAATGTTTAGCGGTGATTTTTGGCGCGAAAATCGCCGCTAAACAAAGCTAAAATAACAAATCAAAGAATTCCATAAACTCTGTGTCCATGTACCGCCAAAAATTGCCAAGTTGGCACCGTCAAATATAGTTTTACCGTATTTTTTAACTGAAAAAATAAGTTACATTTAAATGCTTTCTTCTTTTGCAAAAGCAAATCAAAACTGTTTTTATTTGTTTATTATTTTAAATCTTAAATAGAAGAAGAATATATTGAATATAAATAATGTACTGAAATTAAAAATGTATAAACTGAATTCTTAAAGTATTGGTCAACATGATGAATATGATAAAGCTTTTGATGCATTCAGTGCTACCTGGTGTTAAAATTAATTAGCATTTATCTTGTCATTAACTTTTATCATAATTATAAATTTTTATCTTATTTCTGAAATAAACATAGTTAATTAAGAACTGTTATAAGTTAATTTATCAAAAGTAGTATATTTGTGAGATCCTGTATAATGTATGAATATAATTTGAAATTATTTTTCATTTGATTATTTTTAAAAACTGTGTTTATTAAATATTTATGAAAAATTTATATATTGTTTGATTCTAAAATACATTTTTATATTGTTTTGTTGATATCTTGAATATTTTCTATAGGGTTATGTTGGTGGTACTAATGAAGAGCATGAAAAAGAGGAAAAAGCTCGCAAAGAAAAATTTGAAAAAGATATAGGGTTGCTCACATATTTAGGCCAAAGTTCTCTGGAAGCAAAAGGTAATTGTTAATGATTATAATGAAATTTCAAAATTACTATGCTATAGCTTTTTGCTAGTGTAAAATGTTTTTGCTTTTCACAATATCTCTTCTCCCCCACATATGCAGAATGAGGAAATTTATGTCATCCTGTCTGTAATTTCACAAAAGAAAAATAAGTTTAAAATTGATGAGTATTTTATTTAAATGGCTGTGAGGCAGAAATTTCACTCAAATATAGACAAGTCATGGTATATCTGCTTTTTTATTTGTTGAAATACACTGCAATACTACAATATTTGGTACTGTTTTGTTATTGGAGCCAGATCAGAAATGTGTGAATGTATGAACGTGTGTATGTATGTATGTGCATATATGTGTATATGTATATAACACAGACATACATACATATGTACATACATTTCTGAATCCAGTCCTGATAACAGAACCCAACATTTTCTGTTTTAGTTTTTTATGTCCTATTTTTTCTTCTGGGAGCATTTATATTTATTATCAGTATTGCTTTCATTTTCATTGTTTTAAATGTTTTTCAGTTTTCTGATTTTCTCTAATTCTGTAAATATTATAGGATTTGTTATCAAATAGACAATACAGTACAGTTTCTGATAATCTATGATCACTTAATCTGTAGATGCCTATTATATGTACTTATCTTTGAATAAAAACAAATGAAGTCCAAATTTTTTAGCATATTCAGCATTTTAACTTTCATGATAATTTTTCTCAGATGAATGTGCAAATTAACTTATTATAAAAAAGGAATTATATTTGTATTTTGAATGAAGAATCAAATTAATTTTAAAGTTATTTAGTATTTTCTATATAGGTGTTAGTACTTTCTTATTATCTTAAACATTGATAAATGTTTCTTTTTTAGATATTTGATTACTATTGCATTGTCTGATAAAATTAGATGAGGTATATGATTAATTAACGTGTGTAAAGAATTTGTTCATCACAGCTTTTCAGATGCTCAGTTCCAACTCATACGCACTGCTTAGGTGGTTTATTTACATTGTGTACAAAGAACAAGTGTGATTATATTTGTGGATATGATTTAAAAAAAAACTTGCACATATTTTTCTGGTGTTCAAAATGCAAAATGGAAAATTTGGTAACAAGTGGATAAAAACGGAGACATTTTGTTAGTTCTTTTTGTAGGCTAGTAGTGTTAAATATCTAACTGCATGTGCATGGAACATATTATTTGAATTAGTGTAAGGATTCAATTTAAGAAAATTGTACTGAAATTTAGGGAAATTGTGGAATTTGAAATAGTGTAATTTATTTATCTACTTTCTCTCTTGTTTTAAAAGAGGAAAAATTACTCTGAAAGTCAGCTTTTTTTTTCGCTTACATAAAATAATTTGGTGCTATTTTGTGAAAGAATTTTTTTTTTATTTTCTAGAGGAAATCTATCATTTATGTCTTATTCTCTCAACAATGTTCCCTTCCTTGTATTGACATTATTTTGTATAAAAATGTGTTAAAATGCATAATAGTTTTGCATTCAAATTCTAATTAAGTAATGCTGATTTGTTAGTTAAGATTCTGATTTTAAGTTTTGATTAGTTAATCATGAGGAAACAATTAAAATTTAATGCAAATAGTAGAGTGGGAAGAATGTGAACAAAACTCGGGAAAACATGACCTATAATTCATAAAACTCTAACCTGCACAACAAGAGGTATGTGATTATAAGAATTCTGCTGTATTTTCAAATTCAGCATTATAACTTATCAGGTGATATGAATACGCTGCATGTTGTTTTTCACTTTTTTGTAAAGTTACGGATTAAAAACATATGGTGTGGAATGTTTTTCCCCCTGTATCTGTTAATGATCTAAAAATTGCATGAAATTAATACACAAAGGAAAGTAGAGAAATGGAAGCAATATCGATCTCGTTTGTAATTTTTTCTCTAACTTTTTTTCTATTACAAAATTATATTGATGGTTTGTCTTTCTGAAATAGCCAGGAGAATTCTATTTATTAAAATTACCTTTATGTGGAAAAGCATTTTCTCTCTCTTTCTGTCTCTCTCATTTTTGTTTGGGAGGGAGGTATGTATTTGTATTGAAAGCTAACTTACACTTCAAAAGCTAATTGAAAGCTAATTAAATGTATGCACTGATGTAAGTTGATGTGTCTCCTTTAATTTGGATATAAAGGTAAGGGACTTAAATCCTTTAAACCTCCATAACTGTATTCATGAATGGCTGAAGTGCAGATGCTACCTTAATGCTCAGGAGGATGATCATCAGTCAGTAGACAAAATAATGTAATTAGTCGTGAACTTTCTATCATGAGAAGCTCTGACTTGAATTAGTATCCAGACCCGAATGAACTACTATGCCCATGCATTTGAGCAAAAAATTAGTTTTAACACAATGCTGATTTCATTCTTCTTGCCAACACTTGTCTTGTAACTAATAATGTACTAACTGTATGTTTTTCTCTGTGTTGTCTATAGAAAAGCTTGATTTTTTTATGTAGGGAACTTTCCTAGTCTTAATACAAAACTGTTTTCATAAAATCCATTATCTTAGTTTAAAAAAATTTATACAGTAGAATATCAAATATCTGGACCAGCTGGGACCGTAGTCCATTTGGATATTGAAAAATTTGGTTAGAGTATATTTAAGGGTGCCTCTTCGATTATCATAAAGTTGTTTCATTTATGGTAACCTGAGTAGTTGAATGGATTAGAGCAGAAAGAAGGGTACCCCTTGTATTATCGTGAAGTTGTTTCATTTATCGCCAAGTGGTGGTTTATTTATGGTAACCTGAGTAGTTGAATGTTATGGAAACCCTGTTATGACGTAATTGGTTGCATAATTGCAGTCAATTTGAATCGTGGGAAAAGATATGGAAAGTGTGAGTCGAATTTTCAATAAGTTCATTGTTATTTTGTGGTTTACACTGTAAAATGGCTGAATGTGTTAAGATGAATTTGAAGTTCTGTACAATTTAGAACGAAAGGGAAAAAAGAATTAATTGACTAGTGTGTAAATGAAGGTTTACCTAGTAGTGATTATTAAGTGTCCTGTTTATAGGAAGGCAATGCATATGGTCGTACTATATTGGCACTACGGAGGATATTTTTTACTCTTATTTTTGTGAATTTATGTGGTGACGCCAGTATACAGATTCTAGTTCAGATAATTTTAGGAAGTTTTTGGATGCTGTTAAAGAATTTTGTTTGACTGAAGACATGTTAATTCTTAAATAACGTAAATGGATGTTTCCTTTGTGTAGTGCAAAGATGAATTTCCTTTTTTATGTTATTTCATTGTTTGATTACAAATTTAATTTATTGAGATTATATATTTTTTTATTAGCTGCTCCTTTGACTTTTTAATTGAATATAGTTCGATGTGTACATGGACAAAGTAAAGGGAGTGCACAATACCTAGTTTGTGCAATTATCTGAATTTTTTTAAGTGAAAATAGGTCAATGTGTACATGGAAAAAGTCAAGGGAGTGTGCAATGCCTAGTTTGGGCAATTCTTTGATGATTTTTAAGTGAAAATAGGGTAATGTGTACATGGATACCGAGTTTGTGCAAATCTTTGTCTTGTTATTTTCTCTTTGTGTAACGGCGATTTTTGCAAAAATTGCTGCACAAGTCAAAGAATTGCACAAAGTCGATATCCATGTACCACCAAAATTCGCCAAGGGGTACCCGTAAATATACTTTTATCATTGAATGTTATGGAAACCTTATTATGATGTAATTGGTTGCATGATTACGGTGAATTTGGATGATAGGAAAAGATTTGTAAGTGTGTTTGTGTGCTGGATGTTGGAAAGTACATTGGTTATTTGTGGTTTACATGGTAAAATGGCTGAATGTATTAAGATTAATTTGAATTTCAGTACGATTTGGAATGAAAGGGAAAAAAGCATTAATTGACTGGTGTGTAAATGAAGGTTTACTTTGTAGCCATTATAAGTATCCTGTTTGTACGAAGGAAATGCATATGGTCATGTTGGAGGATATTTTTTGCTTTTATTTCTGTGAATATATGTGGTGATGCCAGTGTTCAGATTCTAGTTCAGATAATTTTAGGAAGTTTTTTAATGCTGTTCAGGAATTTTGTTTGACTGAAGACATGGAAATTTCTAAATAAGGTAAGTGGATATTTCCTTTGTGTAGTGCTAAGATAAATTTCCTTTTTTATGTTATTTCATTGTTTGATTTAAAATGCAGTTTATTGAGATTATATATTTTTTATTTGGCTCTAATGTAGAATTTGCTGCTCCTTTGACTTTTTAAGTGAAAATAGATTGATGGACAAAGTCAAGGTAGTGCAATGCCAAGTTTGTCCAATTATGTGATTTTTTTTAAAGTGAAAATGTATTGATGTGTACATGGATACCGAGTTAGTGCAATTCTTTGACTTGTTATTTTGGCTTTGTATAGTGGCGACCAAAATAACAAGTCAAAGCATTTCACAAACTCGTTGTCCATGTATTGCCAGTTTTAGCCAAGGGGCACCCATAAATATATTTTTACCAAAAATTTTATTAAAAAAATTATTGAATTATCTTATTTTCTGTTTGTTAAATGCATATTTATTATAATGCAAGTAAGGCAAAATTTATTTTTCTGTTTATCATATTTTACAAAAGAAAATGAATATACAGTTACAAATGTGGTTTTTAATCTCTGTAAAACAAAATGAAAGTAATATTTTTTTCTGTTGATGTCATGCAAATGGGTATTGTATCCCATTTCTTTAGCATACGCACTTGGTTCCGTTCTATAGTTTTCAATCCCATTTGTATTGCAAAAAGAATATAATCTTATAACATTTTCTATGCATATACATTTCTTAGAAAATAAATAGTTTCAGAACTATTTGTCTACCATCTGCTGTGGTAACTTAACAATTAACAGATTTAAATTCATCTTTTATCCGTAAATATTTTATGTTTAAATTCAATTTAAATTTTGTGTAATTTAAATTTTAAGTTTTTAATTATTTAAATGTTAAGTTAAATAATATATTATAATTTCCTTTTGATTCATAATTTTGGAATCATTCAGTTTATATATCTGTTACGTATACATTTTATTATTCCTGTTTTAGGGGAAGCTCCTTGGCATTTAAAATCAAGTACAAAGGCATTGATATCTGATCCAGAAGGGTAAATAACTTATCATTACAATTAATATATGCAGTATGTGTTTAATATTTATGTATTTCGCCAAAAATCTGTCTTCACATTTTCATATTCAAACTCGGCTCTTTCAGTGTTTTTTTTTGGGGGGGGGAAGGGGTGGTGAAGAAAACTTAGTTTTAGACTAAAGCAAAAGGCAGTTTAAAAACGAAATAACTTGTTCTATTTCAAATCATAATTTTCTTATTCTAAATTTTACATATGAGGAGTGTTTTTATATCAGTACTTAATTCAAATAGTTATTAAGATGAAATGTTTATTTATACATTATATACAGGTAAATAATCAAATGAATTTAAAGATGCAATATCTGTAAATCAAAGGTTATGGTTTAAGAAGCAATTCCCATCTAATACCTATCATCTATCTGATCTTCCTTTTTTAAGGTGGGATGTTATGATAGATGTATGACATCAAGTTTCTTTATAATCCTCACCTGAATTCATAGAGTTCACGCAATAAAGGAGAATAACAATTAAATCTAAATGAATGAAAATATGTAAAATTACTTACTGTTAGAAATTTAAAAAAGTTCTCTAATATTAAAATATAAAGTATGACAAATTAATCAATTAAAGAAAGAAAGTGCTAAATAATCAATAAGTTCAGAAATTATTCTGATTAAATGCTGGAACAAAGACAGTAATTCTAGAACTTCATTCACAACTTCTGGTGGATATAAGACTTGTACAGGTCTTTTCATGTGCCTTTTGGATGTTCTAACTAAACATAAACGTGTCTATCTTGCTCTGTATATAACTCTACTATAACACCATACTACCATAAAAGTTTAGATTATGTAGACCCCCTTAAAAGAATGACATCTCCAACTTTTAATTCTTCCTTAGGGTTGGGAATGCCTGAATGGTGTGCTATTTGAAAGTCAAGAAAATATTGTTTCTTTCATCTTTTCTGGAAATGTTCCAGAAGTCTGGTTTGGTACACTTGACTTTTCATCATATTACTTCTACTCAAATTCTTGTTATCAACTCAATTAAATGAAGTGGATAATTATGATATTTTCATCCAAAGTAGAGAAAGTGTGCTGGTGTGAGAGGCTCTATTTCTTTCAAGTTGTTGTAAGTTAAGGGTTGTTGATTTATTATATATTCAACCTTTGTTAAAGTAATAGTCATATCTTCAAAATTTAGAAGGACTTTTTCAAGTATTTTTCTCAAACAATCTTTCACAAACTTTACTGAACATTTTTAAAAATCTCCACACAATGTGCCATATTCTGTGATAAATTTCCAGTTTATATTTTTTCAGGCAGTGAAATCTTGGAATTTGGAATTCATCAGTATTTTGAAAAATGTTCAGTTGTCTGTTTACCTTTTGGAACATTTTGCACTTTGCATAAATTGTGTGAAAATGTCAACATTTGACCAGAATTAAAGGCCATAAAAACTTTTCTTTTGACTTATTGAGACCAGCTTTAAATGAAGGTCACAGCTATATACAAAGCTATAGTCACAGCTATATGCAAAGAAAACAGCTATATGCAACTTATCAGTTCTGGTTGCTAATGTAACCAAAACTGAACCTGCAAAGTCAATTCCAGAGACAAGAAATTGTAGGGTTTCAGCCATTTATTTCAGCCAGTCTTTAAGCAGCTGTGAAGTCATCTGTTGAGCAGGCTTTGCTGTATATTTTCTACAAATAAGATAGTTTCTTAGAATTTTCTTCACAAGCTCTCAATCTTTTGGTATCCAGTATTCTTTTCAGAGCATGGTCAAAGTGGCTGTAGCTCCTGAATGTTTCAATTTATCAAGTTCTCTTTTAGTAATCAGTTCTATAAACTTTGAATTTCAAGATAAGAAAATAGGATGTTTTTCTTTGGTAGTGAAATCAGAAAATTGTAATCTCCCTTCAAACTATAAGATTCCTTCATCATCTAGAAAAGAGGAAAAGGAAAATATGGTTGATTTCTTAGATATAGTTTTATCAGTCTCTAATCAGAAATCTTTGAATTGTAGGCTAGTCTTTGAATTCTTGGGATGCAAAAAGTTTCCCAGTTTTCTAAGTAAATCATTTAATCTAAGCTGTTATTTTTAATATTTTCATAAGATTGCTGTATTTGGAAATATCAAATAATTTGTCCTTTTCTTTTATGATACATCTATATTGTTGGACACTAGCAAACTTGTTTCTTTATTCCAGATTTTCTTCTTCAGTGGTATCTGCATAACAAGAGGGCTAAAATTCTGAAGACTCTAAAAGCCAGAATAGTCCATGCCACCAAAGTTGGCAATTTTTTAAGTTACTAATTGTAGTTCCTCATGATATGAGGACAGCAGGGTTGTCTTTACCAGGGCAATAATGCCACTTACTGCTGTCACTTAGTTTCTGAATTTCATAAACTCTGTTTTTGTTGAAAGGTTTAAATCTTTCAGGGAATTTGCTAATTCCAAAAAAAGTTACTTATGAATCAGTCAAATAAAGTCAAATTTTGTATTTTAAACATTTTGCGATTTTATCGCTCAACCTGGCAGACCAAAGTGCGCCCAAGAGCTCCAATCTAGGAAGTGCAAGTAATTTGATAGGAGCAGCTGTACTCTTGGAGGCAACCAAAGCTGAAAAGTTCCATCATTCAAAATTATTCTTATACTGCTCATCCATAAGCTTTTAGACTATGATCAGAAAAACTATGGAGTTCTATTTATTTCAGATATACATCTAATATTCCCTCTAAACAATAAGAGGGAATCTCATGTTATTAGCTGTTTAATTTCTTTATACTAGGCTTTCTATTTAGAATAAAGATCAGATGGTATTTCATTGTCCCAATTTATTTTAGCTGACCAGATTTTCTGAATCAGATATTTTATTCTTATAGATCATAGAATCTGACAGGATCCAAAATATAGCCTACAGTTTACAATAGAAAATGTTTTGAGTTACTTGGCAAAAAGATGAAATATGTTAAATGCTGCCTGTCAGAATGAAAATGATCAGTATGGTATATGTATTCCAAGAAATTCCAGATACTTTGATCGGGACAATCAGGAGATTCTTGTACACAAAACTTTTTATGGTGGCAAATGCATTTCAGTTCTTTTGAATTAGTATGCCCCTTATGTAGTGACATGCTAACTTCGTTGAAAATGTTCACACTTTCTAAACTTGTTTTTAGTGCTTGTTTTAAATTTTGTTGACCACCAATTTGTATCAGCAACATACAGGCAGTTGTTTCAGAGGTCTACTGTTTCGAGATATATTTCTGAGTATTTCTTAAAAAGATGTTTAATGGTAGCAGCAAACAGAAAGGGGCTGGATTTTCTCCAATATCCCAAAATAAGTTACTGAACAAAACTATTGTAAATCTAGAAGTTTTCAATTGACCATTTTCAATCGTTTAAGGAAACTCAATTATTATTATAAGGATCATCTTTCTAAAAGAACCACATATTGTTCCTGTTTTCTTCATTTAACTCTGTCTGCAAAAAGGATTGTATAATGTCTGCCTCTGTCTAAAAAAAAAAAAAAAAAAAAAAGATTTTGTATTATCAAATTTTGCCTAAGTTTTATGAGTAAATTAAACGTATCAGGGTATAAGTTCGGACCAGTCTATAAACAATCATTTAAGGTTAGGTTAGGTTGTTTAATTACAGCAGAGCCTCGAGGGCTATCTGCCTAAGGGGAGGGATGCCTTTGAGGAGGACTTTCTAAGGAAAACTGGCTCGTATACACGTTACACATGTGGAAGACCACGAAAACACCCATGTAGCCAGCCCATTCGCAGGATTCGAACCTCAGATCAAATTACCAGTGTTCAGCGACTTTACCACTCGTCCACTGGTGGGCCAATCGTTTAAGGAAACTCAATTTGTTTATAAGCTATTCTCAATCTACTTGTTGTTCTATCATTTCTGACGACCGCTGTATGAGGTAAATAAAATAAGGTCTTATCATTTCAGGTGTCTTCCTGAACTGGTTCAATAATATGTTGTAACTCTTAGTCTTTTAGTAATATCTTTACATTGAACAAACAAAGGTTTGTCAATTTTAAATTTGCTATTTAATTTTTTAAATCTTCCATGTGCAGCATCCATATTGTCATCCATTAAATGCTTTGAATTTGTTTTCCATGGATTGAATTGGGTTCCCATGAATTTGGTGATCCTGTCTACCATTTTATACTTGATATCAGATTTGAAAGATTTCAAATTCTAAATAAAAGGTTGTGTCATTTTGATCATCGCTTTCTAAACCTAAGTTTTCTAATTGATTGGATATCAAGTTTTAATTTACATTTACTTTCATTGTTAACAATTCACCAAAATTATTATTTACTGTACCCATGCAAAATGCCTCCAAAAATATTGATTCTGTAGCTACTACATTTTTTAAAAAAATTCTTTGAAATTTACCTGTAATTTTTTAATAGTAGAAATCTACTCCTATGAGAGTATCAGTTTTGCCTTTTGTTTACAACAGTCAGCTAACTGTAAAATTTTCAAAACTATGTTTCCTTTAGCAATATTTAAATCTGAGGAAGAAATAAAAATACTGAGATAATTTCTGTTTCTAGTAGTTCAACAGCTATACTAAGATTAGAATCTCTGTTATTTTCTCGTTCAGTGTTAGCAGCATTAAATGTCTTTTCTAGCACAGTTCATCCCAAAGTGAATCAACAAAAAGCATTCTTTTTAATAATTGAAAGATTAATTTTAATAGAGTTATATTAATATTCATCTTTAGTTATGAAATTTCTTACTGAACCATTATCAAAAATGAATTTTCACATTTTACGATTATTCCAAATTGAAGCAGTATGTAATAATATTTTATTGGTACTTTTCCGTTTCGCTGGCACAGATCTCGCTAAGTAGACTTTATTGGCGACAAAATACAGTATACACATAAAAAATATTAACAAATGTTAGTTCTTAAGAATTTTTTTATTTTGAAGGCATAAACATTTTAATATCGTTTAAAATTTTGTAAAAAGCCAATAAATAAAGACAATTTGTAAAAAGACATTAATTTAAGAATTTTTCGATGTTTTTATGGTTCAACATCCTGATTCGCCGGTTCATATCACATGACCCAAAGTGATCTCATCTTACGTAAACTACGCTACAAAAATCTAATTCTCTCAGTAATTATCTACATTAATTTCAAGTTAAATATTAATTTGGAATACAAGTTTAAATGAAAGAATTGTTTCAATTCGTACGAATAGCTTACTCAGAAATTACGTAAAACAGCAGTGCTTTACTTCACTAGTGCATTCTCATTAGAATTGATGAATTTAACCCTTGACTTTGCCTGAGCAGTGTGATTGCATCCTAATTGACTTAATTATTGCAAATGGCCTTAGGGCATAAAATTGAATTACCTAGTAAAAGTTCTATGTTATTGTATGCCAGTATTGAAAGAAACAATCAATCTGATAAGAAATGGCTGTGACTTGTTTTGAAAATGAGGCATAAAAGGTAACCAGCGAGGATATTCCGATTGGCATCAGTTGTACCATTATTGGCGACTTTATCGCCTGCGTGTCAGCAAAACGGAAAAGTACTCTTTTTTAATTGGTTTACCATCTATTTTTATTGGGATTATGTGATGAAGCTGGAAAAAATAACTTTCGAATCTAACATTTTCTTTTGAATTTTATTATTATACTTTTTCTGATAAAATAAATAACAAAATGCTTTTGAATGTTTGTTATTACAAAAATGCATTTTACTTTTTGCTTGCTGTCTCTAATTCTGTGCTTTCTATCCAGACACAAACAAGAGAATGTTTTCCAGAAGTTCTTTCTTCTTTTCCAAACTTAAAATTTCGCAGTCTGCCAATTTATGACTTCCTTCAAAAAACACTCCTCTGAGAATCGGAAAATGCCATTAAAATTTCACCTGTTGATGGCCTATTTGTTCTGGTCAGGCAAGGTTCCTGTTTAAAAGGTAGTTGTATTATGGGCTTTTGTAAATCATGAGAACTTATCTTTTGAATTATGATTGACAAGAGTGTGTTCCATATTGATAATTTCATTTCTCAAAAAGTCTAATTCACCCTTTAAATCCCAGTTTTCATCATGAGTTTTTTGGTTATGATCAAGAACGGGCTCATTTGGAAACAGTTTCCAAATTGATATTTCCGCAGGAATTGAGAGTCTTATTTTGAATGCATTAAAATTTCTTATCTGCACTTCAGTGTCATTAAAAAGTTTCCTTAGTCTGTTTTCATCATTAGGATTTCTAACAGGAAAAATATTTAAGAGTTGTTCTAAATGCAAATTAATTAAAATGTTCATTTGTCCAAAAGTGGACACAACAAGAGCAGCTTTGTAATTATTTTCAATAAGAGTTCAAGAGCAGCTTTGTAATTATTTTCAATAAGAGCAAAACAAGAAATAACTTTTGTGGCTGAGCCACCTAGAAAGCTTTTTTAGTAAATTAATTTTTCTGTTTTTGATAAGTTCAGATTTTTTCAATCACACTTGAATTCACTTATAAATTCTAATCAAAAGATCACCATAAAATTTATAGTTAATTTAGGTAATTTTAGGTTTGTTTTAATGTACTGTTTAAGTTTCTGTACTTTGATTTGGAACTTGATTAGAACTAGATACATTTACTTCTTCATCAAATAATCATCAGACACATTTACTCTTTCTGTCAATTAATGCTTCAGATCTTCAGAGTTTTTTTTTTTTTTTTTTTTTTTTTTTGTCCACTTGTACCATTGTGTAAATCTAAAATTTAGTGTCTCTTCTTAATTATGTGAAAGACCTTGAAATGCATCAGTATGCTTGACTCTAATGACTGATATATTTTTGTATCCTTGTTTCAGTGATGTCTGCATAGATGAAAATGTCACAGACAAAACAACACAAAGCAAAAATGTTGTGGTATAAAATGTGATGGGAAAAAAGAAAGGAAGAAGAAAACATAATCGTAAAAAATGAAGTGTTTAAAAAACATAGCAATTTTAAAACATCATCTTAGAAAATATTGTGAAATATAGCACATACAAATCATCGCATGACAATAACATCGCAGATGCATTTTTCAGGCTTTAAAAGCTGTATATTTGCATAATGATAACTATTAAAGATCATTATTTAATTAATCTCTTATAAAATTGAATTGGTAGTGTTTGATTATATTGGTAGTTAAATTTAAGTCTTCTCAATAACTGATATAAAAACATACAAGTTTCCTTTAATATTTTCCTATTGAATTGGCTACTAATGGCCGAGTCGTAACATTGCTGAACAGAGGTAGTTCAATCTAGCAATTCAACTGAATACATTTTCTGTGGTTTTCCTAACTTATATCATGGATACAAGCCAGTCCCTGTGAAAGTCGTCCCACATAGGCATCTTATTCCTTAGACAGATAGCTCTAGTGTGCTTTGTTATAATCCAATAAATCCAAATGTGTTATTGAAGTATTATGCAGCTACTTCTTGATATGTTTCACGATAACTAACGAAGCAATAACCAAGCAATTAAATACTTGTTGCATTAGGTCATCTGGAAAGCTCTACGGTTTTCAAAGAGAAACACATTTTCTTTTAATTATTTTGTTACTGCTAATAAATAGTGACCTTGTTTGAAGCAGATGTTTAAATATGATCTTTTTCTGTTCATGTTCCAGGATTCTAGCATGTCTTATAGCATAATTTTAGTTTCAGTGCATTGCTAAGAATGAAGAACCCAAAAGCTCATTTTCATCATATCATTTGAATTTTCTGTTATATTTTAAAAAAGGAAATTCATTATCATTTCATTTTCTGTTTTATTTACAGAAAAGGAAAAAAAAAATGCTAGTCTGATTGCTTATAAAATGTGTGGTAAATATGTATGAGGCGAAGAGTTATAGAACAAAATAGTGCTTATGTGATTCGATGAAATTTTCTTATGCTTTGCTATTATGTAATTTGTTTTTATCATAAAAAAGCTGCAGAATTTTACAGATGGTCCAAATACATAAAGATTTTAATAACACCATAAGAAAAAAAAAACTGAAGGGGAAAAAAAAAAGAAGACTTAATTTTTACTACATATTATCAAATTAACAAAAGTGAAAAAAATTACAATTTGAGAATTAATGAAACCTAGGCAACCTCATGCAATTACTCATCTCTCTATTTCTGATCTTTTTTAGACTATATTTTTGATATAAGATTACCAATACAACTTTATGTAAGATATTAATTAAATGGTTACCTGTTGTTACATACATAAGTTTAAAACTATTAACTGGTATACGTAGCATTAATTTTCTATTCATTTTCAGTCTTTGAATGCTTTTTTAACAATGTTGTTTAATTCAAAAGTATAAAATGTAGAGATAAAATATTCCTCATTCTGTCTTTCAGTGTTTTAGAACTGTGATGTTTTCTCCGTGCTTTCACTTCTCCTGCGATATTTTGCCTGGCGCCATTTCACTGCCTGGCGCCAATCTTTTCTCTGTAATGTTTTCACCTACCTTTTGAGTGGTAGGTTTGGTACAAAATGCATCCTGTAAATTGTCATAAATATACATGCTATTTAATAGAAAATCATATTTCTCTTCAAACATTTAATAAAACAAATGCTGAAGGATATTGTCGCTTTTTTTTTCCATAAAAGTAAAAAAACTTTTTTTTTTTTGTTTTTTTTTTTGTTTTTTGTAAACAGCATATGTGGATCTTTTGTAAAACAAAGGGTATGAACTACACTGTTGCAAAGTGTTGGATGTTCTTTCTTACATAAATATTTCATTGAGAAATAATTTATTTCTTCCTGTAGAAGTTTTTATGTAATTCATAATTTATTTCAGAATTCTATGATGACTTTTTCATTTTCTAGTAAGGATGAAGTTGCAAGTGCTAAGCAAAAATCACGGCTTGATCCTTTAAATGATATGCAGAAATATCTCGCTTTGAAAGAGAAAAAATCTGGGGAAACAGGCTTTACTAAATCAAATGAAGTAAGTTATTTTAAATTAATAATGATAATTTTATAAATGTGTTGTCATTTTATAAGTTATTCTGTTTGATATGAAATTTCTGTTTTAATTATAATAATGTTGCACAAGTAGATTATTTTTTCCCCTGAACCTAAATGAAATGAAATTCTCAGTATAGATTTTTTTAAGGAAAAATGCAAAAATTAAGCCCAAATGCTTATGTTTCCTTAAGGAAAAGGAAAGAAAAGAATTTATTAAAAAAATTATTGCTTTTTTCAGATGGGGGAGAAGACTTCTCTAAAAGGAGGTTTATAGTTACATCAAAACATTAAAGAAATTATTTAAATTAATCAATGTAGAAGGTGAAAACAAGAAATAGCTTTTAAATTTGCTATGATGTAATTAAGATTTTGTTCAGTACCTTCTGTTTTCTTATGTCTGTTTCTCCCTTTCTCTTTTTCTCTCTTAATTATTCAAATATAAGTATTTTATTTACAAAGGCAGAGTGGAAAAAGCCATATAAATTTAATAAATTTAACTAGACTTTGCTACTGAAAGAGCTAATTAAAATCTATTAAATAAATCCTTCTAAAATTTTAAATTTTTAAAAATTAAAAAATTAAAAAAATGGCATGTGGTTTATGAGAAGAAAATGTATTATTATTACTAATCTCAAACCTCCTAATGCACATGTATTTTAATACTGTGTCTGACTGTGCACAATTCAAGGGGTGGTTTCTGATAGCCTGCAAATGAAAATTGGCTTGATTTTGCAGAGCTTGTTGCTTTGCATGAGAGTCTGCAATTTTATTTTTAACTTGTGGTTCTTAAAATTTAAGGCCACAAAATATTTTAAGTGAAATGTACAAAATGTTTTATAAAGGTAAACTGTGAAAAAAAAAACTTATAGTATTTTTTAAAGTTATTCCAGTACATATCTCTAAATATAGGCCAAACAAACATAGTATGTGACTAGTGATGCTATGCATATCTTGAATTGATCCTCATATTGATGGAATTGGACTTTACTGGTGAAAGGATTGAAAAATGTATGACCTATATTTTAATTTAACAATTAAACAAAATGCTGAGAATAAATGAAAGGAAAATAAACACAGCATATTCACTTAGAATTAGACTTTGAAATTTAAATATAAATATTTGCCTACCACTCTGCTGAAAGTAAAATTCAGGGTTCATACGGTCCATAAGAGTCCTTAGGTATTTTGCAATCAATTTTTGGTCTTTAAAAGTCCTTAATTTTATGCAAAAGCTGCAGAAAGTTCTTAATTTTAATGTCTGTTTTTACGACTGCCATTTTGAGTATGTATTTTTCAGTATGCGCAATTAGCATTTTGGAGGAATATTTTTGGCGATTCAGTAACAAATATGTATTTTATAGATTATCGTTTGAATTTGTTCCTGTTTCTATTATAAATGACGTGATACTCGAGTTTCTAGGACAAGAGGTGAAACATAAGCATTTTACAGATTGCACCTTGGAAAGTTTAGAAGGATTTGAAGGCGAGATTTATAGACCTACGATTCTAGAAGATTTCAGAAAAGTGTGACAAAATAAAAAATTTCTTAATGGTACTAACACAAAATGGATGTATTTTACAATGCATTTTGACGAATTTTTCACTTTTTGGAGAATTTTTGGAAAACAATGAAAGAATAATATTTGAATGTTTTACTTCTGCTCCTAGAAGTCTTTTGCTTAACATGTTTCTATTTCAAAATCGTAAAAACAACAATAAATGTTTCCATTTATTTCTCTCCTTTTCACTAAATGCAAGCATAGGAAATATAAAAAAATACATGGACAGGCATCTATAGAAAGGAGTTTTTCTATTAATAAAGAAATTGAAAACTGACAATTTAAAAGATTCATCTTGTATGTTTCAATTTATCACACACAGGGCTAGCGCTAGGCACTTTTCCCCCTCTGTGAGTCCTAAATTCTGCTGCTTAGTGCCTTCCTAACTTCTGCTCCCAGTGCTTGGCCTAAATTCTAAAAATTTTGCCGTTTCTAGATTTTGTTGCTCTGTGCATCACTAAATTTTAAAAATTTTGCCACACTGACTCTGTAACCTACCTTGATCGTATATCATTTCATATTTATTCTCAGAAAAAATATAAAAAAATAAAAATAAAATAAAATTAGCAGCTTCTTCTATACATTCTAAATACATGTAGTTTTTTAGAATAACAGAAAGCTTTAATTAAATCCAAAAATTCTAAAATGAAGGAGAAATTTATTGAGAAAAGAAACTGAATACATAAAGAGAAATAAAATTATTCTTTAAAGATATATACAAATATTGTTATGCAAATTAACCAATTATTTATAATTTCAGCCTTTGCTATAACTTCTCCTTTCCATTTCCTAGCCAGATTGCAAATTGATTAGATAGTATTTAAAGAGGTTTTGGGATTGTAAGACAGAGCATGTTTCTAGTCTCTGCTTGCATGCTGCATTAGTTCTTGTCAGCTCTGATAATTTGTGATTATTTGGCTTTGCGTTATTGCTGCCGACATTTGAATTTATTAGTACAATAGATTTACTGAGGCAACTTATAAACTAAGAAGGCTTTGACTCACATTTTTAATTTGAATTTAACTTTTCCTGTTAAGTTGCATCACCGCAAGTTATAGTTGATTTTGTTAGCATAAGAACGTGCCTTTATATTCTAAATTCTTTTTAAAGAACGAAGTTTATGTAAACCCTTATCCTACTTTGTAGTTAATTTCAGACATGGCGATAATTTGCTTCACGTCTGTCAGGTGTATTGAACTACTTAATGTTTACCAGATCAAATGAAACCTCATAGTTTTATTGCCAAGTTAGGAGATGAAGCAGAAACTAGTGGAAACATTGTTTTGCGTATTGGTATAAATTTCTTATTGCTAGAAAAGATGCTTAAAGAAAAAGAAATTGATATGTTTTAGTCAAAAAACACTCATAAAGATTATGTACAGAAGTATGTGTAAATATTATGTACAGTGTTTACAAAACATAAATGTTTTATCCTAATATTGTGTAAGAATCAATTACATTTGTTTTAAATTGTGAAATGTTATTAATTTGTGATTTTAATAATGCTTTTTTAACAAATATTAAAAAAAATAACATTTAATAGTGACCATGTAAATCTAGAATGAATAAGGGTATCTAGCTACATAATTTGATTTTTTGTAACTTATTGCTCACCCTTAAAAGTTATCTCTGCATTTTAAAGCAAGTTATTGCCTTTCATTAATCCTTACCATGGTCACAAGATGCAATACAAAAATGTAAAAATTAACATAAAACTTATTCCTTACAACTAATGAGATTTATAATAATACAAAACAACTTATATAACCTGTGGTACTTAAGTGGCTTATTGGAACCTTAAAGTACATTAACTGAGTTAAACTCTAGGAACTCTATACAAAGTTGCAACACTAACTGTGTCAGACAGGCTAACCTAACTAACTTTCAAAACTTACCAACCATGCCAACATCAGACGTTGTTCTAATCAGCAGGTCTCTCTCTAAGCATGCAGCAGTGGTGGCAATAGCCAGTCTTCTGTTACACATCATGCTGATTATGATTTTACATCTCACTTTAACCTATGCTGTTTGAGGTAAAATCTGCCTGCTGTTTATTAAACCTCTAGATTGAATAAGTACATGATCAAATGAAACATGAAAGAAAAAAATCAACATAAAAAAAAAAAAAAAAAATCTGAAATGTTTCAGATTTTAAATTACGTCCAAAGGGGCGTTTTTTTAACGTTTTGAGTGTTATCTTTATTTATTAAATATCATGTTCTTTGCACTTAAACCATAAAATTCAGTTCAAGAGCAATATCGCAAAATAATGTTAAATTAAGCATATCTTTAGAATTTCCGATATACACAGTCTCGCGAGCTGGAGATAAAAGTATTTTTTTTCTATATAATGTTGCCATTTCTTGCTTTTAAAGCATTGAGTTTGTAAATCAAAAATTCGTTAAAGTTTTACAAAATATAAAATCTATAATAAAACAAATTCCAAATTTGGGATTTCAGATGCCCATATTCGCAGTAGGATTTCGTCATTCAAAATTCGATGGCTCTATGTACCATTGTTTTATCACAATGCGAGAAATAGACAATCATTTATGCAGATTTTTCATTATTTAATTTCTTCAAATATAATGCAGGACTCTAACATTTTGTGGCAACAGTTTGAAAAGTGAACCGTCGTTTATGAGTCCGACGCAAAATCGCAAAACGAAAACAATAGTCCTTCAGGGACAAAGCCCCTTTGGACTAATAATGGTTTCTTAAATTGAAATAAAATGTCACTAATCTTCTTTAAAATATGTTCAACTATTAAGTGTAAAATATGTGTTATTTGATAAATTTACAAAATTGGTGTTAATGTCAAATTTGTTTTATAATTATTTTATTAAATTATGTTTAATATAATGCATCCTACTGATGGATCTGTTTTATTCTTAGGATGGTATTATAAAAGTTAAGTTCAGGCATAGATGATAACTTTAATTGAATTATTCAGTTCCATTTGCTGATAAGTCCTTAATTTTTATTTCCTTAAAAGTACTTTTTGTGTATTTGTTTTATATATATATATATATATATATATAATGTAACAAGTTGGCACAAACCAAGACGGTTCGTGTCTTTAATTCTAGGCTATATGCAAATAATATTTAAGATAAGGTGTTCATTGGTTTACTTCATAGGGAGGGGGAGATGATTCACAAAGTCTTTACAAAAGTTTCTGTCAAAAGGGTTTTCCTAGCAAAAGGTGAATAAAGCAAATAGCTTTTTTGCCTCTTCTGGCTACAGCTAGGCATTCCAAGAAATTTGCTCTCAAATTTTGTAGCGTATAGCTGGCTGCTGGTTACTGGATTTCTCCACAGAGGTATAAAAATGCTCTTGACAGATTGAACAGAATTGCTGTTAACAGAGCTGGGGAAAAAAAAAAAAAAAAAGAAAAGAGAGAGAGAGAGAGAGAAATTTCCTTCTTTTTCACTAACCTAATTAACTCCCAGCTTTTTAGTTGCATTCACTGTTTTTGGTCAAGATTTCATGGGCATGTCAGGAAGACTTCCAGAATTATCAGAGTATCTCTTGATTGGTGAATAATGGTGACAGTTCTGGGAAATCTGGGAAAATTTCCGTGACAATTTCCAGGCTCAGACTTCAAATGTGATCCAGGGTCTTTGCATCTAGGGCGGTCATGGATAGGCAGTCAAGTGCGTAGCAATACATCTATAAAGCATGGGAATTTGGAATGAAAGTTTCTCTTGTTCCAGTTTTTCTCAGGAGCACACCAATATTCTCCTTTGACCACCATGCAATGAAACGGAAGATTCATGGTATGTGATTAAGCTTTTCCGAGAATTGTTAACTGGTTGTTAAAAAATAACTTTTCCGAGAATTGAGGGATCTTCATTAGAAAATACCTGAAGACATTACAATAGCTGTGAAATCGTATAGGATTTTTTTAAATTGGATTAAAAATTAGATTCTGTTCTAATGATCTGTATGGATTTTTTCAGGATGTTTTTAGTTTTAAAGAGAAAATGCTTTTGTCTTTATTTATAATAGCATGATATGACAGTACCTACATTGACTAATTTTTGGATGTCAAATTTTCATCTGCATTTTAAGTTCAAAATGATATTTAAATTGTAGAATTTCAGTAATCATTTAGTATAGATTATTCATTAAATTTATTTGATTATGTAGCTTTAAGAGTACTTTCCCATAATTTATATTTTCAGACCATATAAACAATACCATGAAAAAGGTTTTTGTTTTAGCAAAATTAACTTTTAACCAGTTGTTTAGCATTAGAAATTTGCCACCTTATTCAATATGTTAAAAGTCCATGCATTTTAAATTTTGCATTTTTTCTATTAATTTATGAAATAAATTTAAAAAAAATAGTTCAGAAATTACTTTTTGAAACATTACTACAAAAATCTTCATATTTGTAGGAGAGAAATTCACGGCAGCATAAGCACAATATTGAAAAGAAAGCAGCAGAAAATAAGAAATTGTCAAAAATAGAAGAGTTGCGGGCCAAACGTCTTAAACGGGAAGCAGAAGAAAGGAAACGATCTCAACAGTTTTTAGAAAGCTACAGAAAAGGACCGTCCAGTGATGAATCTTCTGTTGTCCTTGATGATAGGTTAAGACAGTATAACTCACAATTTAATCCTCATCTTGCAAGAAATAATTTAGTGCCTGAAAAATAAAAAGTTAGTAAAGGTATGCGATAATGCAAAGATTATTTTTTATTAATACATTTACATGATTCCTTAATACAGGGAATTGTGTTGTGGTGAACTGTTGCCTAAGTTGACCACCTCTGAAAGTGATCAGTACTTCAGAGAATGTAAACAAATACCAGTATTGATAATTCTGTTGTTCTCTTAAATGACTACATGCTTATGAAAAATAGCAGTTAATCACTTCTGAATCCTTTATTTTTAAATTTTATCAGCATTGGCCAAGTTACCTTTATAGCATTTTATTTGAGAACTAGGATACCAGTCTTGGAGATGATTCATCGCATCTGCCTCAGTTTGTATTTATGCATATATATCTGTTAAATTGTACATCTTCATAGTTGGTAACATAAAATAATCAACATTCAAATGCCCTCAGAGCAGCTTATTTATTTATTTTTTTTTGAAGTTCAAGGCTCAAGTCCATATTATTTCTATTTTAAGTTTTAGAAGTTTTTTAAGTAATAAACTTTAGATTAAAATTTTCAATAATAGTCCCCAAAAAGTAAAAGCAGCAATTTAGAAACACAATTCAGATTTACTGAATATGCTGAAAAGAAGTGTCAGAAAACTGTGAAAACATTAGGTAGAAAAGTATGGTGCTTGGTTGACAGTAATAAGGTGACTAGTTTATTTTATGAATTACTTACAGTTGCTAGTTTAAAAAAGGAAATGTTTAACCAAAAGAGTAAAACCAAGTAAGCATGGGGTGAATATTTTAATAAGCAAAGAGTGTTCCTGAAATTGCTTGACAAAATTTAACAAACAGCAATAAAATTTAACAACTTAAAATTAATTTCTAGTGGCATTTTTCTTCAAAAATTAAATTTTTTTTCAAAAGATCTTCCCATACATTAAAATGTTATTCTGTAGTATTTTAGAAAGTTAAGCATAAAATAAATTCTTGTCCCTGCTTCCCTAAGTTTTTCACTACTTGTTTTTGTAACTACTTCATAATTTTATGTATATTAATGGTACTAATAAATCATTTATGATGCCATGGTTCTTTCTCAGTATTTTTCTTGTAACAGAATCTAGGAGTCTTCAAGGTAAAATATGTTATGCAAATCAGTAATCTGCTATCACTAGCAGATTACTGATTTGCACCATCTAATCTGCTATCACTAGCAGATTACTGATTTGCACCATCTTATCTAAGATGACCGTCTGCTCAGAAGACCATTGTGTGGGATGATAAATGAATGTCATTCTGAGAGTTCACTGTATAATTTTTTTAGCCCATTATATATTTATTTTATAGTTTAAGAAATGTATTATTTTTTAATAGATTGTTTATATTTTATTTATTTTGAACATAAACATGGTTTAGTTTAAGAAAAACTGTAAATAGATTGAAGTTTGTCATATATATATATATATGTGTGTGTGTGTGTGATGTAGTTTTTACAAATGATGAAACTAATTCACTCTTGGGTCATAATCGAGAAAAACTGCTGTGTGGATGACTGGAGGGAAAATCATGACTGGCTTGATTGTTTAAATGTCATTTTTATTTTGAACGGTAAAATTCTTCAAAACTATATTTTTGCTTAAGTTAACAACACATTAGGGATGCTAAATGGCTAAATGCACGTTACAATTGCTATGTACGCAGTTTACATTTCAGAGAATCAAAGTGAGAGACATGGTTTATTCTAGCAGCAGCAGGCAAGAGAAAAGGGATGCGTACTGACTGCTGTTATATTTATAAACTAGAAAATTTCATTTCAATTCTAAGCAGTGATTCATGCATTGCAGGGAGAGTGATGTAACATGTGGCAGAGCCACAAAAAATGGTACAAAGCATATAATTGAAGTGGGGATGTGTTTAATTAAAATTTAGGAATTTAAAGGTCTGTTGCAATTTAAGAATTTTGTTTCATATTTATATATATGTAACTAGAAGTGTATCTATTCTTTGCACTGGGGGGGGGTAAAATAGAAAGAAAACTATAACATTATGAAACAAACTATTAGATGACACCAGATTATTATAAGTTCTCAAAATTATCTAGGGGGAAAATGTCAGTATTGCAAAAAATGATAAACTTTTCACATAGCCATTAAATATGTAATGCTATACCATATACCAAACTGTTTCTTTCTTAAATGGACTTCAGTCTGTAATTGATTAAAAAATTTAACATGAAAATAGTAATGAAAATTCATATTTTTGATGTTGTTATCATTATACTATAAGCTTAATTATTGCTCTCTTAGTCATTTTTTTCTGACCCTGTTTTTATTACACTTTAATGAGGTAGACATTTACATTAAAAAGGCAAAAGAAAAGTTTACTGAATTTCATAGTTAATAATATTGAATGCAAATTTATGTTTCTGTTTTTAAGATTCTGTTGTTGTGTGCATAAAATTGGAATTAAAGTATAATGAAAAAGAAAAATTAAATTAAAAAATGGAAACAAGATTTATTATTTTCAGATATAAATGTGAAATATACTTTTTGAATGTGTATGTTAAATAATAACAAAACACGTAAATTTGTGAATTTATAAATTGAAAACAAAAGCAAAAATTGTTGTATAAAAGAAAAAATAGATGCAAATCAAGTGAATGTAAGAAAAACAGTCAATTGCTTTTGAGATTGAGATCTGAATGAACATTTAAATTTTAAATCTAAATTGTAATAAAAAATAACATGAAAATAAAAAAATTAAAAATGATATGATCGTTTCATCACTGTGAGATTTGGACATTTTCAGGAAGCACGAAAATATGACACATATAATTACCATATTTGGCTGAGTAGATGTGTTTCATTTCATACCAAATTAGCAGGCAGTGGTATCAAAAGTTATTATTTTAAAATAATCTGTATGTCTGGATATTTAAAAATGCCATCCTACACATTTAGCCTGCTGAAACAAATGTAAATACAATAGTAAAAACAATTCAAAGTGAAATTCATTGTATGAAAAAAAAATTGTTGGTTTATGTGGAAAAAAAAAGAGGTCGGAAATGCTGTTTTTAATTTAGCATATTGAATTATGTCTATCATAACAGCAAGTGTAGGATTATAGTTTTGAAAATTGTTCTTGCAGTTAACTTTTTCATTGATATGTATTATGTACGTAATAATAAAATTAAGAAAATCAGATTTTTGAAGAGCTTTTGTATACTTACTTGTGCATATGTATGTGCCTGTGTGTAATGTTTATGAATATAATAATAAAATTTAAAAAATCAACTTTTGGATCGTTTTTGCTCTGCAGACATTATTTAACACCCAGACCCATTTTTAACACCAAAATGTGTCAAAATTAAAAGTTGTATGGAACTTGCAATGATTTACTAGCAATGAGGAGCTGTTAAAGGTTTTTAAGGTTTAGCTAAGTTCCATGGTAGCAACGTTTTCAGTGAGGATATACAAAAGATGGTACCATACTATGACAAATGGCTGAATTTAAGCGGCAGGTATGTTGAAAAATAGCTCAGGGCTATATGCAACTTTGATGTGTAATAAATGTAGTTTTTCTTTTTCTATTTTATTTCATGCTTGTTAAAATTGATTTCCAAATATCTGTCGTACAAAATTTTAGGATAAAATTCGTATAAAGATGGTACCTATTTTGCCATAATGTGTATTCTTTCTGATGCTATATATTTCTTGCCACTGTAAAAGATCTTATGAATTGCTTAACAACAAACATTTAACTGAATACAATTTCATCCCATCATGGCAATGGGTGGATTTTCTGAACTTCTGAATTTTTCTCAGAATATTGTCTGTAATGGTGAATTTTTGTTTAGAGAAGAGAAGTTTATCCATATGTACAAATTTGATAAATAATATGATTAAAAATATTTAGTTTTACTTTTGTTTGCAATAAGCTACTTGATAACAGTTGCATAGTGAAAAACAAATTTCTTGACTCCTCACAGCTCAGTCACTTAATCTGTGACAGCTGGTTATGAGCAGCATAAAATTGAGTGAAAAATTTCTTTCAAACTACTTTCCAAGTGGGTAATATTGTTACTTGCTTACAAGCTCGTAATTACGAAAATTGGCATACAATTCTTCACAGTAGCACAAAGTACAATAAATTATTACACTTTAAACTAGTAAGAATGTTAAACTCAATGCATCTAAAGAGTGAAACAAACCTGGAGATATCTCAATACTCCAGACTTACGCTGAGCTAACAACTACAAAGACTGAGAAACTGATGTTCTTTCTTGTCTTATATAGTTTTCACCCTGCTGCTGAGATATTTCTAGTACTTTCTGCTTCTCAATTACTGGAAAGCATATGAGGGCTCAGTGCGGTTACAGACACAAAGAGCATCAACTACAATTATTCAATCACAGTATCCATTACAGTTATACAGGGGGAGCGGTCTGATGACTTTTGGCATTTTATTTCCCAAATCTGAAGACAAAATTAGTAGACACAACCGTTGCCAGCTTGGCGATATCTCTCCAATTAGCGAGATAGCCATTTATTGAATATTAAATAGACTTGCCCCCGTATTCTCATTTTTTTCTGGCAGAGCACCATTTCTCTCAGCTTTTCCTGTTACATTATACAGAAAAATACAATTTCACATATAATTTCATATAATTTTTCTAAAATTATCTATCTCTATATGAAATTTGAAAGAATATTTAAAAAGCAGAATGTTTAGATGTTTAAATAATTTTTAGATAGGTTGTCATTTTGCAGCTTTGTTTGGAAAATGGTTAAAAAAATTTACTCCAAAAACATTGTAGATACATTTCATAAATTGACTGTGGTGTGCATACAGAGGTATTAGTGTATGTAATGGGTAAAGCTGCAAATTTTAAGCAACTTTGCCAAAAGCTATGTCATGTTGCCCTGATGGTCTGAAAGTTTAAAATTAATCAGGTGCTTATCAATTCCAGTTAGTGTCTATGAAAAATGGGAAAATGAGAATGAAACCATTAATGCAGGGTTTAAAAAATTTAAGGATTGCTTTTGATGCTTTAAACTTTTTAATTTTGCAATATCATTCAGTGGTATTTCTTTGCATGACTATTTTTAATGAAGTAGATTAGTTTGCATTGCTTAGGCCATGGTTTTAAAGCACTTAATATCGTTTCTTTAGGCATTTCCTTATGTAGTATCTTTTTGATATTCCTTCAGATACCTTGTTTAGTTTCTTTTTGATATACTCCTGACAGGAAATAATCACATCATACATTAGAATTGTTCAGCATTGACCATTTTGATTAGCGACGTTTTATGAGAATGTTTTGGGTCTATGTGTGATTTTAACAACGCATAAAGGTATAGAAACTTAATGAAACACTTCATTCACTTTGTGGTACATTCTGGGGAAATAATACTTGAGAAACGTCAATCAGATTTTCTGCGTGCAGTGTTCTGAATCACATTAATCCTTTGGCTAAACAAACGAGGCTTGGTTATATCATTCACAAATTATTCATTCAAACCGTAACACCTTTAGGACGGGCTAACAGAGTTGATGAAATTACATTTTGCCTGTTTTGACTACTGATGCATTGAACTTTCGGTTTTCGTGTTTAATCTGAAATGTAGTTCCAAGCCTGATTTTTTGTTACAAATTTACACCATCTCTCTCCTCCGCCCTTTTTCTGATAAATTTCTGATAGAGGGATCATAAATGCTGCCTTTTCATATTTATGGGTTTATTGTTAGATATAGCATTTAGGATTTTAAGACAACTTTTATTCAAAGTATGTTTCATTTAATAGCTGATGATGTGTTGAGTTATTTTTAGTATTGTAGTTTTATTTGCCTGTATTTATGGATTACTTTGACTCATATTTTTTTAAACCATCACAGCATTCGCTTTGTTAGTTTGCGTTTCTACGTGCGTTCTTTTTGAAGGCTGAACGTCCGCAACAAATCAGGTTTCAAATTCTTAATTAGCCTGATATAACTTGAAGTTACTTGTATTCTTTTCTTTTAAAAATAGTTTTGAATCGCTCTATAGTTAACTGAATTTCTTACTTGAATGTGACTAACAATTTGTCGAGCTTCTTAAAGATATAATTCCAATTCTAAAGTGTATTATTCTTTGAGGCAGCTTTCTTTTTATATAAGAGGGAAAGTTTAGAAATGTAAGTGATAGATGTCATCGATAGTGATACTTAAAATTTTTTGGTTCCTGTAGACGGCAAGGTACTGGACATTCAATTTTTACTCTATACGTGGATGTTCCAGACCTCCTTACATGATGGAGCAAACTGAAAAATTAATTGTGACCTAAATGACAATTAAATGCAGTGCAAATCAAAATATATGTATTTCTAATTCGAAGCTCATGGTTTATCGGATTGTGCTGGATATAAGACTCTGCAGCAAACGCGCTTAGTATATGCCTCTACAATATACGATTTTCTGTAGGCATGTGAACATCATGCTTAGACCACAGAAGAAAGAAAAAGAGTTGCAGTTTATTGGTCAGATGAATCATAGTTTCTTTTGCATTATGTTGATGAATTTGTAAGGTTGTGCCGTTTTGCAGGTTACAATTGCTTGAACGCTGTGTATGCATTGGCCAGAGACAAGAGTTATTGAAGGATGGTGCCGTGAACATACTTAGGACTGAGGGTTTAGAGCTCACTTTGGAAACTGAGCTGTGTCAAAATCATTCTTGACCATATAAAACGCCAATTCATGGCTTCTGTAACCACCACTTGGAAGACTATTGTACCAGTACAAGGTTTCATATCATAAGGCCAGTACTGAAGCTTCTTAAGAAATACAATGATGTTTGCCATCTCTCACTGGTTAAAAGTTATCGGGTCTTATTATTACCTAACAAAGGATTGGAAGAGCAAATATAAATCTGGTATGTTTGACCGACAACTATTTCCCGATGCCGTTTGTCTGACATATAGTGAGTAGTGACTTTCCCCTCTGCTTTTTTTAAAAATTAGCGACCTTCCAGAATGTTAGTTCATTTAGGTAAATATATTTTGTTTGTTTGTTTGTGTGTCAAATATCTCTACCTAGAAATTTTTCATTTTTAATGGTCTATATCAGCGGTTCTCAACCTTTTAACTAACGCGTACCATTTACACAAAAATTGAAAACCTTTTAGTACCACCATTATAAAGCACTTTGTTCACCACCATTCTTGAACAAAGCTCAGAACGCATAAATTTACGAGTGTTAGAGAAAAAACTCAGTCAGGATGTTAGGGTTTTAATTTTTGAATTTAGAAGTTAAAAATACTTTGCTTCTTTGCGTACCACCGGTTGAGAACCCCTGGTCTATATAATGTAATACTGGGTGCGATACATGCGAGAAATCTATAATCATTCAGTTTATTCTATCATTAAAGACAGTGGTGATGCGTTTTATCATTCAAAACATTTCTTGTGAGTAGGTGTAAAAGCTCTTTCGCGAGCTATATCCTCTGTCCAACTTCCTGTCTAAGCTCATCAGTTACTGAGTAAAAACCAATACGAGATTTTCCAATAAGTGTTTGAAAACGTCTGACGATTCGATTTTGTGTTCTTGGAAGAGTTATTCAGTCAAGGTGCAGACTAAAAATTTGGAGAAAATAAAAAAGAGAATTTCAGTAATCTTTCTATTTTTTTCGAATTTCCATGTCTATAATTATCCTCGAACCATTCTGCTACTGCATTTATTTCATAGAGAATAAGAAGCTTTCTCTCCTCAAATGCAGATTTAATATTAAGAGAAGGAAGAAAAACAACAGCTGGAATTTGTCGAAGTTTCAAACTAAAATTTTCATCTTCACCATACCTTTTAGGAAGCCCTGATGTTTGAATATGGCTCCAAACACTTTGTGAAAGAAACGCCATTTATTAGTGGCATCTAGGAATTCGTGACTAGAAGAATTAAATTGCTACGTACTTTTTCAAAATCACTAATAATGATATGAGGATTTATTTCGAGGTTATGTTCAACAGCAAAGTAATTCAAATATTGAAATAAAAGAATACAACACTGCACTGATTTGCTGGTCATTAAAACTTAAAACAAAAGGAAGTAAGGGAAAGGAAGCTATATTTTATAATTCGAATGTACTAAGGTTCAATGAAATATGTTTCCTTTTTTAGGTGAAAAATAATGATTAGCTTAAGTTTTCTTTACAAATTTAGCGTAATAAAGACAACGATTATTTTTTCAGCAGGTGCTAATAAAATCCTCTAGAAAAGGAAAAATTATTTTCTTTTTCACACACAGTGTGTTTCATACTTTTTGTC